ACTCTAGATACACCACCAATGATCTCTACTGAATGTAAATCATCAATAGTAATGTTAGCTTCTTCAATGCGTATTCATCACAGACTGCATCTTATCAACCATCGGAGCACATAGTTCCTCGAGCTTATCACGAGTCACGACTACATTCTAAAACAATGACATGATAATAATATGATTATTGTTATTATTATCTTACCAGATCCTCATCCTCCAACAAGCATTCAATCCCTAATACGGCCTCATTATTGGCTGATAATATCTTCTTAACCTTATTAACAGCCTCTTCCAACTTAAATCTAGATTTAGCATTCTTAAGGGGATCTAAACCAGTTTTAGTAGTAAACTGTTGACTATAATGCTCCATTAGGATCTTATCAATATATCGACCACCAACAGTAGTATCAATAGCCTCACCAAGTACAGTAAGATGACCTTTAGTAAACTTAACGATAGATGTACCAAAATGAGATGCACCAACAGATGTGAATGCTACTATTGTTGGAGTATTATCACTGAACTCATTAGATCGATATATACCATAAGCCAATGCAGTTGCTGTTGAATCATTCATAACTCGTAGACAATTAAGACCAGCAATACGGGCAGCATCCAATATAGCATGTCTATGAGAATCTTGGAAGTAAGATGGTACAGCAATAACAACATCTTTACTATTTGATGAGGTAGTAAAAGCATCAGCGGTATCTTTAAGCTTTGATAACAACATAGATGTTACCACTGTAGCTGATAATATTCTCTCCTTACCTAGATATGATACACGATATCCAACAGTACCTATATAGATAGTACTACCATGAGTAGTAATTAATATTATTATTACCATCATCAGCAATAGCATTATCACATACCTGGAAGAACTTCTCCTTAATGAGTTCCTCATCTTGATCTATTGATGTCCTCCCTAATAATTGTTTAGGGTTACGACAAGTATTCTTATAATTAGATTTAATAGACGTCATTGCCGCTTCACCTGATGATAATAATAATATAATTAGATGATTATTATACCCCATTAATACCAATTAATCTGTTCTTATCAGTAAAACCAACGACACATGGTGTCTTCCTCTCAGATACCTCATTACGTACAATATCTACTACT